CTAAAACTGCCATGGGTTCAATGTAGAGCATATTAAAGGTATACTATGCAACCGGTGTTGATTTTCCAGCGGGGCTCCCCCCAGAGGGCGAAAGTAAAAGTGCATCGTCGTAAATATCCTCAGCTGTTCTGAGTTTTGAGTTTGAAAATTTAGCATGTTTTCATACATTATTTGTTATGCATGTGTCTAAATAACAAAGATTGTAGTTAGCCAAGTTCTCGCCGTAAAGCAAGACCGACTCTCGCGATGCACGAGACTTCTGAGCCTGTGGGTGCGGGCCGAGGGCTCGGCTGGTATTTCCCCTACAGACCACCAGGGCAGCCGAGAAAACCTTTGTTCGACCTGAAATGACTCATTTAATCATCCAAAACGTTAAGAAACACATTAATTAACTGAAAAATGTTGCATAGTATGCCTTTAAATTGAGATAAAAAAAAAAACTTATATATCTAGTGGAATTTAACTGTTCTGTTTTCAGTCTAACTAAATGTTTATTTTTTTAATAAATCCGTTTTTGCAGCTTCACACCACTAGCTGTGGATCCACAGACTGCAGACCTCTGCCCTGACTCAGATAACAACGAAGCCGTTATTTCCCAGTGTCTGTAAGTCAGGAGCCTGGTTTAACTGGTCACCCAGTGGCTACAGACGTGTAGGAGGGGGATTCTGAAGTGTCGCTTACTGTATCTAAGCCAGCTTATCTCTCTATGATACTAAAATACATGTCGTATACACAACACAAACTAGATGTAATGTATTTTCCTAAATAAAAGGAGCTTGTACTGAACTGGACCCAGCTGCAGAGTGATGGATAGAGACTAATGTTCTGACCGGTGTTTGTACCACTGAAGAAAAATAAGTCTCAGAGGCAGTGAAAATGAGAAATGAACCATACATGGGTAATGCAAAAGAAAAAACCAAACGGACACACTGAATAGCAAACTCACATGGAGCGTTATTTCCTGCCCATGCAAACACATGCATCCGTCTCTGACAAATAAATCATCCATTCAAATCTTACATAAAGCCTATCTCCTGCCAAACAGCTGCTCCAATTACTGTCGACTGATTACAGGTATTATTCTGATCTTTTTTAGTCTTTCTGGGGGTACATTATGTCTGCACTGAGCAACTCACACTCACACACACACATATGAGTGCTTGTCATCGTAGCTCAGCTGAACTCGTGCAGCACTCTGTAGGGGGTGGAAAAAGCTCAATCAGCAAGTCATCAAATGTCATCTGTTCTAGTTAATTTGCTCCAAATATCAGTGTGCTATGCTAACTGTTCAATTATCCACTCTGAGCTGTATTTTCCTGCAGGTGCGATGCAGCAGGATGGTAGACATGAACCTCTCTAAATTACACAAACCACTCTGCCTGTTTGTTAACTCATCTTAAATCACTGATTCAGGTTCATGTTTCAATGAGCTATGAAATCAACAGTTGCTTTAAAAACTGCATCAAGTTGAAAGCTTTAAAGATTTCTTATAATAATGAGGCCTTGAAGGAAATAAAAAAAAAACATGAAGTGTTTTGCAAACATGAAAACCATGAAGAGCGGTCAAGTGTTTATATAAATAGAATTTAAAATCCTTCTTCGCCCATAAAGCCTTAAATGGCTAAGCTCCATCTTACATCAGAGATCTGATTGTTCCTTATGTTCCTAACAGAGCACTTCACTCTCAATCTGCAGGTTTACTAGTGGTTCCTAGAATTTCTAAAATTAGTTATAGTTACAGTGACTCAGGTTATCCTGAGCTATCTCTATAGTTCTGCTGCTATAGGCTTAGACTGCTGGAGGACATAGGGACCCCTTTTTCATCATTCTGCTTCATTCTATCTCTATTCTCCCACTCTGCAGAATCTGTTAGTTCAATCTCTAACGTTCTGCTCTCTCTGCTTTTTCTCATAGTAGCTTCATCTGGTCTGTTCCTGTTTGGCTGTGACTCCATCCTGGAGAGAAATATCAGCTGTGCTGCTGCCATCAACACCTTTGTTTCTAGATGTTGGAGCTTGGCCTGTTTTCCAGTGTAGTCCTGTTTCTCTGACTGTGACTAACTGGATGTGCTCTCTTCATCCTCTGACATGGGAGCTGGCTCGGAGCTCGTCTGCCTGGCTGTGTGTTTCCTGGACGGGGCCGCCTGTGGAACTGGTTGACAGTTGCCTTTAGTATCTATGCTTCTTTTTCTATGTCCGCTTCTGTCTCCTTGAACCCCAGTGGGCCTCAGCAGATGGCCGCTCACACTGAGCCTGGTTCTGCTGGAGGTTTCTTCCTGTTCAAAGGGAGTTTTTCCTCTCCACTGTCGCTACAAGCATGCTTAGTGTGAGGGATAGCTGAAGAGTCGATCCAATCAGCTGGTTTTCCTTAGATGGAAAACTTAAAATCAATCTGATTGGATGATCTGGTGAACTGGAAAGTGCCTTGAGATGACATGTGGTGTGAATTGGCGCTATAGAAATAAAGTGAATTTAATTTAATTGAATATAAAGAGGGGTTTAAACGGCAAGATAACCTTTGGATTTTCCACCCTGATCTTCCCCTTCAGATAATCCTGTGTCTTCAGAGTGATTTGTCTGCTCAGAAAAATGTTGGCGTGGAGGGAAATTTGTTGATAAAAGCCAAGAACACATTTTGGAAATGGAGAGAAAAATAAAACCCCACAATAATACTTTTTAAACCAAAAATGGTTATGAAAATGATTTTGCTGTTCTTTTACCAAAACCCTATTTTTAATATTTTATTTTTTGCTTTTTCTTTTCAAAATATATATTTTTTTAACATATTTTATATTTTCAATATTTTTTCAAAATGCTTAGTTTACCACTGTGAGTTTTTTTTATTATTGCAATCTTTTCAAACTGCGTTTCCCAGATCAGATCCTCTTTACTCCAAGGCCAATCCAAACGCTGGCTGCTGACGCCCACATTGACCATTTAAATGTTTTTGCTAACGTTCATGCAGACCAATACTCCTTACTCCAGAGAAAAGCCAGAAGTTAAACAGAAAACCAATATGATTAGGATAAAAGAAGATGGTAAAGTTACTCTGAAAGGCTTTTGTGATTACAATGTTTTAAAGTTTCATTACTGTGTTCAAATTTCAATTTACGAAAAGTGTTCTTTGCTTGTAACAATAATGGAAGAAAATCACCCCATAATGAACTGCACATTTTGGGAAGCACTTTCTGGCTTAAAACACCTTATAACTACTTATTTTCCCACTCACAACAAAGCCTCTCTCCCCCACTGTCTGCACAGTTTTTGCTTGTGAAGTCTGTTCTGCTTGTAGTGTTGCTGGAGAGAATGCACCTAAATCTTTTACGATCATGTGTGGGCGCACTTTAGTTTTAAAGACCACTGGACAATTTTTAAATCTTTGCTAACCAGCCCTTAAGGAGCTTTAATGATCTTTTCAATTGCTCCAACAGCATTATGAGTAACTGTGGAGAAATGACCAATAAAATGTGTTTCAGGTCATTCTTTTCTGTTCCACAATAGGCTTAGCTTGGTTTTAGAAAGCTGCTTTATGGTTTCTAACCTCAGTTCATCTAAGACTTAATTAACTTCAGTCTAAATAGAGAAGATCTTTACAGAAACTGAAGAATAACTCAAGTTTTTATGTCACTCATTTCATGATTCGGTTCCTCTGTGGTTTCGGTTAACAGCTTGTAGAAAACTCTCTAAGGGCGGCTGTCCTGCCTTTGTCCATCATGTAGGACAAAGTAGTTATTTGTGACAATTATAGCTGCAGGATGCGATGCTGGGATCAGGTCCCACACAGAAGGCTGCAGGTTTTTCACTTTTAATGTCTTAAAAATAAAACTTTTAATGTCTTAAAAATAAAACCTGGGTTTGGATTAAGCTGCAGTCCAGATCCAGATTCAGATCTGGACTCTTACAATCCCTGTTCATACATACATCATCCAGAAAATTTGACTTCTGGTAAGAGAAAAAAAATATTCTTTAAAGAACTTTGTTCTTCACCACAGGCTAATGTTGGACGGGGCAGACGGTCACCGGAACAGACCAACACCGGGACAGACCAACACCGGGACTGACCGACAGCGGGACTGACCGACAGCGGGACTGAC